GTAAAAGTGTGATCCCAGAATATGACAGAGGCTCTTAACATCAATCAGTCCATTTACAGTCTTTGTACCAATCTGTATAGCTGCCAGTATAAAAGTCGGTACTTGGTATGGTTAATTTACACCCAAAAATATGAATCAAAGTCCATCATTTGCACATGGCCAATCAAAGGATTATTGTCCTTAATGTATTCCCATAAAGAGACAAGAGAGAGCCAAGTGGGGACAAGATCAAGAATGACTGGTCTTCTTCACAGTTTTATCTGTTCTCTCAAGTGTTATTAATTCAACTCCATGAAGGCAGCAGATTCACAAAAGTCAAGACTTGTGATACCATATTCATGGTAGCCTATCATGTTAAATGCTTAATGGACTACATAACATCTTTATGTTATGATCTCTTCAGCTGTCAGTGGCAGATTCTCAAACACTTTTTCATTCCCTTGACACTTCAGTCAGATGAAAATAAAGTAAAATATCACATCTCCACCTCTGCTCCCGACCAATCATAGGATTATCGACCCTGCTCGCGATTGGAAGTGATACTGGTAACTATAGATCGAAAAAAGATTCCCTTGGGAGATGGAGGAAGGGCTGAAATGGTGTGTGTGTGTATGTTGGGGGGGGGACTTGGTATAAGAGAGAGAGCAAGAAGATGTGATGAAGTGTGTGATGATGTATCCATTAAAGTGCAGTCCAGAACATTAAACAATATAGTGGGGTTGGTAAAGGTCAGTACTCTTGAGGAGGTTTATCCATATTGATCTCTCTTTTCGATTCTGCTGGACTCTGCACTGGTGTCCCTCTAAATCCTCTACTGTGCTGTAGACCAAACCGAGAAAGAGACAGACGAAAGGCGGAGAGAGATGGTGAGAAATAAAGAGATACGGAAAGAAGTAGTTCTCACTGGTCATTTTATGTGAGACATTACTTCTCTTCCCTGCTTCAATGATCTCTATGTCTCAGATGCACAGTACTCTGAAAAAGGGCTTTATTTGTGAGAAGTCTACCAGAAAATGGATTGAGAAACCCCCCCAGTTCTATCAAATGTTTCCAATCCCCAGATCCAGTACTTAATACAGGATGTTATTCAATTTTCCAATTTGCATAGCATTTTATATCAACAAAGTTGGACAATTGTAACATGCCAACATAAGCCTAAAGGAAGTACATCAGTGCACTTATCCTATTTGTCTTCTGGGTGAAACCATGTTTAAACTGAATGTGACTGTGACTTTTTTCTTGAAGTTGTACAATTGCATAGTTAGAACTGAATTTTTAATCCTGCAAGAGTTGCTAAAAGTCAATCAATGCATTTCTAACTCCTACCTGTCAGACCAGTGTCACTTCACACTTTCAATTTGGATAAATAATGCAGATATCTATAGAGGACTTCAGCTCTAGGACCTAAGCTAGGATAGCATGCTAAGTATGGTCTTGTATTAAGCTTAAAGCAAGTTAATCATGTAAGAGTAGCCTGTGTTTGGGTCAAAACAAAGTTTTTTGTTGCTAGGCTAAGTAGCACTTATCAGCAAGCTAACATCACAATTGTCCCGCCAGTTAGTGGTGGATTTCTTTTAAGTTGTTCTATAAGTCATGCAACGACTAATGCGATTATTGATAGTGTTGCCTAAGTGCGAAGTGATCTTATGTGAGAGCGTGTACCTCCGATTAGATTTATTGAAAATCCACTGCTCCCAAGAGATTGTTTTCATTTTAAGTGATGTAATTTGATACGTAATTTGTATGGACAACCTATGTTCATGTTCCCAGGCTGTTGGGCATGCTGACATCATGACAAACTGATGACTATTGACCCTCCTGTAATTGGGCCAATAGAAGTTTTCATCAATGGCTTTTCGTTAGATCTGAGGCTACACAGATCCAAGAAGATCAGACGATCCAGGCTATGATTCCTTGAGCTAGGGACATATGTGCCTTGGAGTACTCATTTGAGTTGATCCCCAAAATTAAAATGTATTTATAGCCCTTATCAGGAAGCAGTAGTGACTGATACTGCTTCTGGCACTACAGGGGGGCAACATCTGGTATCTGAGCCCATGACACAGAGGGGCAGGACCCACTCAAAAAGGTACTACAGGAAATAAACCAAATCATTATGAGCCTAATGGCGCCATCTAGCAGGCCACTTTATGACAGCGGGTGGAATATATTTTTGAAATGCTGTAAAGTTCAAAAAGGAGAAAGATCTTCACTTAGTGTCTGAAGCTGGGATTTTGGCAAGGCATAATAGAATGGATAACCAAATCCCATGCTGTGGTGACATTATTTCTTAAAGAAGCCTGGCAGCAAAATACCCTGCAGGTGGTCAAGACTCTCTTACTGGATCAGCCTCTGGTGCTGGAATCCCTCAAATGGGGAATTCATTTTTCCAATGCATTTTTACAAGTTACTTATGATGCTCTACAGGACTCAGACCCCACTTAACTTACTTCATTGGATCAGTGGTAATATTGTCAGGGCAAGATTTGGTAAGATTATGAGCAGCAATACTGACTTTGTTGCACCAGTTTGCAGAGCAGCAGGTGGAATATGAAAAGGTTTCACTATGACCAAGCCCCCCTTACTTCTGCTTGACAGAAGCTACCAACTCTAGCACATTACATAAACTGTTAATTAAGAAACAATGGCAACTTTTTTTTAAATGGGATTTGTAGGGTTTTTTTCTGAAGTATCGCGTATTGAATTAACCCTGCAATAAACAATGTTTTGTCAATGGAGCCCAATGTGCCCTTTCTGGATTCAATAAAAATGTGGACATTAAAGGCAACTGGGGAGAAAATGTGGCATCATGAAAAAATGTTTCACACATTTTATTTACCGGCAACATTCATCTACAGAGAAAAGTTGACCATGTTCCTGCTGAAAATCCTAAAAGTATAAAGCACTGACCTTAATACTTAGCATCCAATGTTTAAAAAAAAGTATTGCATAAAAGAAGAAATAGTTCATACATTTTAACATTTAAAAGTAACTTGTTCATTTCCCTTGATCGTTAGAGCCTGATCATTGGTTCTTCTCTCATGTTTAGAATGAAAGAGACTTATTATTTTAATAAGAATACAGTAAGTAACTGGATGCTTTTATCTGCATTGAGCCTGTTAAAATATTTACTTTGGAACCTCTGACCTCTGAATTCAGAGAGTGGTGAAGTGATTTTGCCGGGGCTGATGGAGTAGATGAGTGTAGAATAAATCCAGGAAGAGTTCAGCAATGCAGTGAGTGGGAATACAAGCCACAAAAAAATATAGGAGCACTCTCTCCTGGCAGAGGGTTTAACGCTTTCCATGTAAAATCTGTTAGTGTAAAACCTGCAGCTAAATAAGTAGGCGTTTGTACTGTGTGCTGACCCTGGGAGGGCTCATAACTCCTTGGGCTGTTGGCATATACATACATATCTGCAGTCTCAGTTTGATCGTTAAGTTACATGCAACAGTATCTGTCTTTTTTTGGGCAAAATTAAACCTTTTTAGTTTGTATTTTCTTCGGAAAAAGGCTCAAGTGCACCGGGGCACCTCTTGATGATTTAAGTTTGTTTCAAAAAGAAAGTGAAAGTAGCAACCCACACAAGTGAACATAATAGGTCATTCAACGTCTCAGTTGCTGTTAGTCGACTGCAGACATCATCCAAAAAGCAAAATTTACAATTATTGCATTGTTCCCGTGGTAGAATACTTAACTTTGGCCTACAGCATAACCACAAATTGTCCAGTTGAGAATAACACACAAAAAAAAAGGGACATAAAAAAGATTAAGTATGAATGAAAGAGCCAGAGATAGGATTTAAAAAAATCTTGTTTTTACCTAGGCAAAGTGTTTTTGACCAAGTTGGAATGCTTTTTTGGAATGTGTATTTGAGCAATCAAGTCATAAAGCATGAATGAATGTGAAGATTTCTATGGTTCTGTGTGTGTAATATGGGAGAATGTCCCAGACTTGCATTGCTGTGTCTATGTTCCCTCGATCATCTCCTTAATAGAGGCTAATGTGAGGTAATTTCAGTGTCAGTCACTTTTGTGCTCTGTAATCTAATTCATACACTCACACACACACACACGTCTCATGTGTATAATGTACCTCTGATACGTAGTATATGTTCTCTTCTTTGCGTTAATGCAAAATCCCACAGGCGGGATGTACCCAAGTGAGGAAGATCTTCTAAATCAAAGATTGTTTCGCCTGCCGAGGGAGTTGATTAAGCCTTGTGTTGCTGAAACTAAGTTTACAAATCCATTTGCAGAGATCAGAACAGTGTGTGCTCATGCCTCCATATGTTTGTATCAATGGAGATAAAACCGACTTAGATATGTTGCATGATTCCCCTCACTCTCTCTCTAGGCAATGGTTCTGTTTGAACACATTTTCATGAACTTCATGAAATGTTCCACTTTCAATAAACCCTATATGAAATATGTGATGTGTTTATAATCAGGCTCTTTGAACATTGTATTCCATTCTGAGTCGTGACATTTCATGTATAGACTTTTTATTGACACTTCATCTTTTCCCGCTAAGCTAATGAGCCAGTAGGAATTGACTTCCCCTCTGAGCTTGACATTCTGTTATTTGTTTTCAGCACGATGTGTGCTGAAATGTATCAGTGTGTTCTTTAAATATTCTGCTACAAGTAGCAAGCCAAGGGAATGTAGGCGTTTGTATTTTTATTTTGCCAGAGTCGTGTTCTGGATGTACTGAAAAAGTTGCCTCTTTGGACTTACTCTGGATGTACAAAAGTAGCAGAGGGTGTTTATGAGCACTTATTTACTATAGCTTTCAAGCCATCTTTCTATATGCTATGGCAAAGATGCATGTCGAGTAGTAAACAAGCAAGAGCATCCACTTAGCAGATTGTGCTTTTTTTGTTTTTCACACATTTAGCCTCTGTGTTCCGCATTGATTGAAAACGTACCAGGGGAAAAAAAAAGCATACTTTCTGAATAAACCGAAACAAAAGGACAAAGATGTATCCTTGTCTTTTCCAGACCAATATGATGATGATGATCTGAAGGTGAAGACCCAAAGACCAAGATCAGCTGACCAGCCAGGTGTGTTTCAGGCACAAACAGGTGAGTAATGTGAGTGTGTATGCGGCAGCGTGTGCGAGTGTGTGAGAGTTCGAGTGTTTGTGTGTGTATGTGCTGCCATAGGCCACGAATGCAAAAGCTGCCAACTTGACTTTTTTCAGGCTGAATGTTTAACTCAAAGATGAATACAAAAGAGTTTATTTCCATTTGCCATTTAAGGCATTGCAGAGCCACAGGGCAGCTGCTTCGTTTGTCCATAGTGATGTTTAAATATGTAAAAGAATGACTCCTGAGTGTGCTTGACTTACAAATCTTACATAATTAAACAGATAGGAAATGAAATGATTGAATTATTCATGACATAATACATGAGCATATTAAGAAAATCATCTTTATATGTAGACCACTCCGATTTATACATATATCACATACATGTAGCTGCTTTATTCAAACAGAGATAGGCCAAATAGTCATTTGTGTTACACATACACACACTCTGTATTCACTGAGCGTGGAGGAAGGAGTCCCTATACCGCGAGGGAAACCCCTGGCTCCGTCTTGTCCTTCTCTGTTCTCTCCCCCTCCTCACTTCTCCCCATTCTTCGATTCCTGAAGGCATGTGTGACGAGCTTAAGCCCTGACTCACACGGCATGTTAATGAAGATGTAATGCGATTAACGGACATGCAATTAATTTCATTTCCTTCTGTGCCATGCGATGATGCCTCCGTCAAAGGACACGGCGCTCATAAACAATTTAGAGGAAGAGAAGTAGAATGACTTAACTATTACTCCTCATTTGAGAGCGTTACTCAGATTTGAAACACAAATCACATATTCCCACAAGTATAGAGAATGTTAGAATATTATATATGTGTTGGTGATACAATAGCGTCACAGTCAGAGCCATATTAAAATAAAATAATAAATTATGATCTTGAGGTATTTTTAGGCCAAGAATCTCAATAATTCAGTGGGGAAAAGGGGAAAACAAGGTCCTATAACTACACAATCAAGCTCTTTCATCACCTGTCAGACAAGCCAGCACTTTTCCCTTGACACTCATACAGATTATGATTTTGTTTGTCTTTTTTCGTTGCAGTGAATTTGTATTGGTGTCACAGTCGTCCTCGGGAGCTTTCTTTTTTATTTCCGTAAATAAAGAGCAAAGAAGCACAAAGATTTGCTAACAGGAATCAATAAAGCAAATTTTTTATTGTTGTGGGGGGAATGTAGCATAGACGATTCAGACATCTTGGAACTCTGACACCATCGTTGTGCCTTTGTGTGACTCTTAAAAAGTAAGTTCACTTTTAAGACTTCTAATACAAACAGATGTTTCACATTTCGAGACGGTTATCACATAAAACCCTCTGGCAGTGAACGTTGCACTCGTGTATGGATTAGTTCCTGAAGACGAGCATTGCTGTGTTCTGCCTCCGTTCACATGACACATTGTTTTTTCATTGAGTAAAACTTGCGGTTGGTTTTGTTTGCTTTAAACAGCAGAGCAGAAAAGCGTGTGCCCTTGCTACCACACATATTGAAGTTCAGCATCATCTTTGTGTACTCCCACTTGTAGAAATATAAGAAAAAGGAAACTAGAACACCATGAAAATTTGCATCAAAACACAAAGTAGACACCATGCATTCAAGTTTCTAGCTGTGGCTAATTTCCGACCCCCCTAGGCTTTTAGGATTAAAACACAATCATTACACTTGAAGAGTTACAGAAATAGTGAAACTATACAAATACAGATATCATAGTGAAATACAACTAAAATACTGAAATATGGACAAACAGTAAAATGAGGATTATAAGAGGAAACACAGTCAATGGTCATAGATTTGCTTCAGTTTCAGCCAGTGTTTCACTTATGTCTTAAAAATCTTGAACTCAGGTGGTAATGTGTTCTACAGGTGTGTTCCTCTTACTGAGAAGGATGACTGCCCAAGTGTAGTTCCTTGTTTGGTGCTTTACAGTTTACATCCGATGTAGCCCTCGTTCGGATTTCACTGTCTGGCTTATTTACCAGCTGACAGATTGTTTCTGTAGCGAGGTTGTTTACACACACTAAAATTGTGTTCTATAAAAGACAAGTTTACAAAACTGTCTATAGTATATTGTATTTCCTTAGAATGAGGCGATGGGGGCAACCTAACAGATTCTTTGATCCGTTATTTTCCGTGCCTGTTTCTATAACGGCCTGATGGCTGAACTCACTATGTCCATCTCTTCCTTGCTCTTCAGGTGACCCAGCGGCAGAGGAGTGGTCGCAGTGGAGTGTGTGTTCTCTGACATGTGGCCAAGGTTGGCAAGTGAGGACGCGATCGTGTGTTTCTTCTCCCTATGGGACCCTGTGCAGTGGTGCCCTGCGGGAAACACGCATGTGCAACAACACGGCATCCTGTCCAGGTGATCCTGGGATCGCAGGCTCAGGTATGTTAACTGAACATTCCACTGACTATATTTGAACAGGTTCTATTTCCATCATGTGTGCTTTGATGCAAAATGTTCAAGAATATGGGGTCCCTACCATGGAATGTATAAACATGGACGTATTCTCAGTGACGTCACCCTGAACAGGCATTTTAAAGCCCGATGTGGAGGTCACCATGTTTGAAATGCTGTCCATACTAACCTTGTAATCAGTCTGGAAACAAGACAAGAGCTGAAAGTGGGGCGGGCAATAAGCCTCCTGTCAAACAGCTACAATTCACCCACCTGTCAGTCAACTCAGCCACACCCAAGACAACACAAATGTATGCAGAACTCTTAGGTTTCAAAAAATCTAAACTTATGAGTTATAAAAAAATCTCACCCCGTGCAGTTTTAACAATGAAGAAATGAGCTGTTGAAACCAACACCATTTTTTTTAACTTTGTAACATGTTTATTTCTGTGGTAAAAATGGACGTATTCAATAGGATCTAGTGAGGATTCCGCTGCTGTTGCAACCAGCTTCAAGCGGACACTAGAGGGACTACAGTTTTTTTGCAGTATCGCATTTGCTTCAACACCAGAGTTTGCTGCTTGATTATATCTCAAAATGTGCTATAGCATGGTGTCGTCTCCCAAAAGGCCCCAAAAGGCATGCTGGGACATACAACCAGCCTTTTTAACCCCGAGTCATGACGGTTGAACAAGGTTAAGCAGTGTTGTAATATGTCAAACAAATACGATGCAATTTGCATTGTGGAATTTGAAAAAATAAATAAATAAAATTTGACAAATGCAGCTTTAAATCACAGGCTTTCTGCTTAACACATCTCTCACCCATGCAGCATTTACTTGTCTATTTACAATGTGTTAAGAAAGCTGCAAAACTGAAGAAAATAATGATGGTGTGAAATTCACTTCTGAAGGAGGTGGGCGGTATGAACACACACACACAATTACACACATAACTCGGGGTGTGCTCAGCCAAAACATCATCCATCCTTGGTGAAGCAGGAGAAAATTCCACAGCAGAATGAAAATGTCATTTTTGTCACTTTAATTCACACTATTGGCCAGCTGAGAGAGGGAAAGTGAAAAATACAGGCAGACAGACATGACACCTGAGCCGATGTCAGCAAGTCTATTAGAGAGTCACAGCTCAGAAGTTCATACTTCCTAGCTCCTCTATCTTTAGCTCCTCTCTGCTCTTTCAATTTTCTTTAAGTATTATACTCATTAACCTTATCTTTTCCATATGGTATCTATTGATATGCATGTATCAATAGAAACATTTTAGGTAATTGTATTTAGAATAAAACTAAAATTGGTGTAAGCCATAAAGAGAGGACATTTTTAAACAAGGTACATGATATCTGCAATTGCATTAAAAAGCTCAGAAAGAACTCAATGTAACAGCCAGGCTTTTGCTTCAAATTAGAAAGTCATTTTTGCCCCAGATGAAATCTAAGTTCCAACCAATCAAAAAACCATCACAAAAACATAGGCATTAATGCTTTGCCAATCAGTGCTGATGTATTTAGTGCTGCTTCAAAGAGGCAGCAGTTAAATGAGAACGGCACCCAATTTTTTTTCCCCAGCAACACACAACACAATCACGCCAGATCAAGTCACCGAGGGACCTTGTGTGCCGCTCATCCTGAATAATGGGGCTTTGCTCTTGATTGATTGCTGGCATGGAGTCTTTCCTGGATGAAATTGTGAAGTGGTGCCTGTCCTCTGATTTGATTGTGATGATTGCAATTGAACTGAAAACCAGAATTTCATTGACTCCCTCTTGCCTGGCTTCTGTCCCTGCCCTATTATTCTGCTAATGCACAGTCCTCAACCATAGGAAATCAAAACACAGTCTGTTTCGGAAAATGAAGACAATGCATCGTCTAGTCATTTAGCAAGCCAGTGTATTTTCCCCGTATTTGGTATTTAGAAAGCTAACTGCTAGCCTCTGCTGCCATAAAAGCAGTCTTTGTCCCATAGGCCAGCTGAGGCAGTAAAGTTTTAGTTCACTTAAAGTACTATATTATACTCAAATGATGTCACCTTTGATGAGTTATGTTGGGGCAATTGACTTTAAGTTTGGAAATAAAACGAAATTGAAGGTGAAGGCAACTATTTAGAGGTTTTCAAATTCCTGCTTGAGTCAGGCATCTAAAGCTAACTGGGCTGCCACTAGCATAACACATACTAGCATGCCAGCTACTAGCAGAATCTCCAAGTAAACTACAGGTGCTTAAGTTGTGTCATTGGTAGTCTAGCAGCCACATTTTGACAAGAAGAAAGGAATATACTGTTTGAAATATCCACCTTGCAGGCTACTCAGTGGAGTCAAATAAATCCAAGTCTGAGCCAGATATGATATCAGACAGTGTACTCCACCAGCCCTTTTTTGCAGTAGAATATGACAAAGAGAGTGACCCTGCCTATGCAGCGTTCGGGGACTGACAGTTGACTGCCAAAGGAACATGTCAAAAAAGCTTGCATTGTCGCTTCACTGCAAAGAAAGGAAGAACGCCTGGCCTGGATTATTGTGGTTGGCAGACAGGGGAATTCTCTAGGATAACCTCTCTGCGCTAAATGGTTCCATAAGAGAGTGCGTCACAGGAATATGGCACCAATGTCCCCCATTCACAGCCATTCTAATAAAGATAGTGATGTGTTTGAGGACAGACTGTTATATGGAAAAATCAGTGCTCATAACTCCTCTTGGGACATATAACTGAAAGGGAAAGTGGGGCCACTACTTTCTAAATGTCAGAGTGTATAGTCATTAGGATTTAGCTGCTAAATCTAGAGCCTAATTATAGGATAGGGCTTACCAATGGTAGCTTAAAAGATAGTGGCTGAGTAACCTCTATAGCACAGGGACTTTTATTTCCTATACAGTAGGTTCTTTTAAAAAGTAACTCAAAGGTTCTTCCAGCAAACTGTCATCTATATGTCCACTAAGGTCTAAAGACCTGGGAAATTTAGAGTTTAAAAGGGTCATTCCTTCCATTTATTTGTATTAATGAATACTATCTTAACATATCAATCACAAATGATACAGTAGTAAGACCTTTACGCAATATTTCCCATGTGATATGCCCTGTTTAAAAAAAATGGCACAGTGGAGTAGGGTGAAATAGAAATGCAACTACACCCTCTCAGAGCATCAAAGGTATTACAGCAACGTAATGTAACACTTCAAGACAGTTGAAGCACTGAATGCTGTGCTGTGTTTGTTCAACTTTCCTCAACCAATCAGACAGACCCCAAAAGTACAGTACTTATACTTTCAGGGAGTACTATACTTTTGGGGTGAACAAGGGATTTTATCTAAGCTCTGGTCACTGTGGTGGAAATTTGAGTACCTCCAAAAGTCCCTTTATCATGTTGGAAAGCTCCTGCAGTTTGAACACATCTACAAAAGCAGCCTCTCTTTTAAAATGTGCTTGTCTGGATTGGCAGAGCATACTTTTACACAGAACAGGAAAGTGGTTTAGCAAGTAGGTTCTCAACAGAAGGCTTCAACATAGTGCGTTCACATTTTTTAATATTTGTGTTGATTGTATTGTTCTTGTGTGTATGGGAAAATGTGGGTGTTTTTTTTGTCTTTGCTCTTCATGATTTATTGTCAATTTAGTGTCATCAGTAAGAGTGCTCTGTTAATTTGTCACATAATTGCACTGCTCTATTTGCATTTCCTGTGTGAGAGTTTTGAAAGTTTGTGTTGCATGTGACGCCGCATAATGTTACTGTGTACATTTGCAGCACAAGCACACGTTCACAAATCAGTTAGAAGTCACTCAGTGTTTACTCATGCAATTCGCCCCCGACCTAAACCAAATGAAATAAAGTGCGAAAAAAAACAAAACAAGGGAAGCGAGAGGAACATTTCTCCTTCCCTGTCAGTGCATATGCTAATCTTGTTTTTATGCAAATGTGTCAACGCGATTTGTATGTCTAAGTGCCTCATTTTCCATTCAGTGTCGATATTAATATCCTCAGCTGCTCCTTTGATGGAATATTGGTAGCTGTATTATGTTCCGTTTATTATTTCATTTTTCCTCCCTGAGCTCCTCTGATGTTTCCTGACATAGTTCTGGAGGGGTTGTAGGGGCACTCCAGGGATTGCCTCAAGATGGGATCACGTCAAATTCAAGTGGGCTGGGAGGGTTGCACATAAATGTGTGAAATGAATTAGATTAAGTAGATGTTTTCATTTTCTTTATATTTTTTTATTATGCCATTTTCTGGGTGGAACCTCCACTGCTCTTTGATATTTGTTGTTTGATGAAGTCCTAGGGATTAAAAAACCAAACCAACGGAACAAAGAATGGTACACAGAAGCCAATACACAGAAATTAGGACAGAAGAGCTTTCAATACAAACACTGAAATATTAATTTTCTCAAAACAACTCATAATAAACAACATGTTGTCCGCACATTTACACACAGCCTTTACTTTTAAATGAAAAGCAAACTCAATTTTCATAAAAAAAAAAAAAAGTTTAATGTACATTTTCCTGCTTGTATTCAAAAGTTTCTCTTTTCAGAACATATACGATATAGTCGTGCCAACTTTCTGATTTATCCGATAGATGTTTTAAACCAACATCCTTCATTCTGTTTCATTTGAATTTACTCAAACTCTCAAATATTCAGCTCACACACACTTTCACAGTTTCTCCCAAAGCATCCTGAGCTGGGGAGTATGCTTAGTCTGCATACTTAATTTTTAAGCAGTGTTTTCCAGAATCTTCTAGTCAGATTTTTTTAATATATATATTTATTTATGTTAGTGCTCAAGATGAGGGTATGGAAGTGGGTGTGTTATGAGTGCGAGTGTGGGTGGATATGTCTCTGGGGCGCATCTCTGTGCATGCTTTTATGTGTGTCTGTTCAAGTTAGGGAACATCAAAGAAAAGTAGCTTGGACATAAAGCCAATGAAGTGAAAATAGACTTTTTTTTCTCCCTGTTTTATCATGGCTAAAAACTCTTAAATTGAGGTGGTACAGATAATCAATTTTAAGTAATGGTGTAGCTCTTGACAAAGCAAACTAGGCAGTAATTGGTCCAGCAAATTAACTTTTCTTTTTTTGGAATATGTACTGAAGTATATACGGCCTTCATGGCCCAAAGCGTGCAAAGTGAAGTAGTACCCGTATATTTCTGTTCTACTTAGCTACTGCTCATTTCCCATAGATTCAGTGACATTTAAAACATGGAGTGGAACAATGCTGCATTATGAATACAGTGTGTCTGGGTCAGTGCGTAGTCAAACGCTGCAACACCACACTTCCAGTAACCATTCAAGCGAGAGACTCGGGGTGCATGCGAGGATCCAGTCATGGAGCGATGGCAGACTTGTGCAGATGGCCAACACAGAAACTTAAAACACGCACATAGTATTAGATAATGTTGCCATGCTGCGCTGTGATCAATTGAAATTGCTGTTAATGATGGCAGTTCTCAGATTAAAGTGCTATACATGTTTCAACATCAGCAGCTAGAAAATTCTTGTAAGTGTATATTCTCAAACAGAATGCATTGTCGCAAGCCTTGGTTAATCTAATACGTACATTGATTTTAAATACATGCATAAGTCATAAGTGTTTCACATAGCTGTAGTCCCTGAGGTGCTTTGTGTGCTGTATGCTGAGAGTGTGAATGTGCATAATGTTGAATAAAGAAAGATAAGCATGGACTTTTTATCTTCATTTATCAGAGATGACTTGCATTGCATCAGAATGGTGCACCAGAATAAGTGATATGCCTCCTTTTTTATGTCAAACATCTTTCCCCTAATCTGCTCCTCACGAAGCTGAATTTCTGGGAGTTCATGAACTTGATTTGGGGACCGGGTCGTCCACAGATCTGTCGCATGAGGTTTGATCAGAACTGATCGACTCATTATTTCTCTCTTCATTCTATGCTGCTGTAAACACGCTCTTTTTCACCTCCCCCTGTGACTGCAACCCCGATGGAACAACGTCTCACTTCAATGTGCACAGTTAGACTAAAAGATGTGCTGTAATATGTTAATGCAGTGGTTGGTGTCATGATAGACAATGAAGCTTTGTTTATTCCTCTAGGTTGGGTGGTGTGTTTTTTGTTACCAATGGGTGGTGTAATACAATCATCAGTGACAGTATCTGATGACATTTTTGTAGTTTTCTACTGATTTTCTCCTTTGAATGTGTCTTAATCCCAAAGCTGCTTCCAGCTTGATTTTTATAGACAAATCGATTGGTTTTTGCACAGTCAGACTTCAGAAACACCATATTTGAAAGAGGGTGATTCAATTTGGATGAATTAGTAATGTCTTACAAGCAATCCTGTACAAACTAAGCTAAATAAAATAACTCTTGCTGAATTACGTTTATCTTTTCTCTGCATGCAGTTGTATAAACTTCTGGAGTCTTTTGGGAAACTTTTGCAATTTGGGCAGAGACGCCCACAAGAAATGTGCCGGCCCCACAGTTTCAATTCACTATTAAAATGATTCATTGAATTAGACATTTGGAAGTAAGTGTAGCTCTACTGTAGAGCCACCAGCTCTATTAGTGTGAAACGTACTCATGCTGTAAGAACCTCAACAAGTTAAAAAAAAATAATAATAATCACCTTTGGAAAGACTTAGCTACTAGATGAAGGACTTCTCCTATATTTGTACAACATGCTAGCTATGGCTAGCTTCACTGTGCTTGAGGGTAGGGCTGAACGATAAATGTAGTCTCACAATTGCGATGTGCGCTAAAAAAAAAAAAAGCACATTATCAAGTATTCCTTCCATATTTGTACAACATGCTATTGCTATAGCAAGCTAATGCCTAATGCTAGCTTCATCTGTTGGTGAGTCAGATACCTACTGTAAGTGACACGCCTGTCAGTTTCTGTGAAAACCTATTTCTTAGCTTAACTTGTCTGTATTTGTTTGAACTCACTTAAAAACTTTCCTAATTTGAGAGCAGTTGATGAAACTCAATCTATGTTATCTAGAACTACAAATTAAACGGTAAACAGTAGCTACAGCAATCAGCAACTTGAATGCTAATGAGTGGATACAGTCCACATTCTTGTTTTATCACTGCCATTATTGCAATATACAGCCACTTAGCACAGCAGTTTTAAAAGCATTGATTGTGTTACTGAATTTAAAGACGTCTCACTGTTTAACCAGCTCCCCATTTCTCTGAACTTTTTTTTTTTTTTATACCACCATCTTCTCCCTCTCTCTCAGCCTCCTCCTCCCGCTCCTCTGAGCTTTCCTTCACAGAGTAGACTTAATTATTTATTGCCATGATTTATTTAGCTTTGCTCAACACAGGACCAGCAATCTCCATCTTGCTGTCTCAAACTTTTTTTTCCCCTTCCCTCACTGCCTCAGCCTCCTCTCTCTATAGCTTGGCTCTGTAGCGTTTCTTGCTGCATCTCTCTAAATCGGCTTCCTCTCTCTTCCTCCCATCTCTTTCAACAAGACTAATCTCCTATGGTGTCTCGCTGAACAAGCCTACGTCTTCAAAATACAAAATTCCTTTTCTTGGCCTCTGCTTTTCCTTCTATAAGTTTTGTTTTTATTCTTATGTTTATCTGTTATTTTGAGTCCCTGCTTTAACAAATCATTCCCTTTTTCTTTCAGTGAATTTTGAGTTACTTGTTGCACCTTTCTTGTCTTCTTTTCCCTTTAAAATCTGACTGCCATCATTATACCTTCCGATCTCAGTTCAGACGTCACCTGATGATTTTGGCAATTATGTGTTTGCGCAAATGCGTCTTTTTTTGTTTTTTTTTAACAGGGCACAATCTGCTACATGGGTTCAAATTCAGATCAAGCATGCAGCAAAGCCTAGCGATCAATAAGGCAGCAACACGAGAAGTCTCAAGTGACCATCATTATCTGAAAAGTTTTGTGCAAGTCCACAGTTCATTTTGATTCATTTCAGCTGCATCTGTTGCTTAAATAGGACGAGGAGTGCAGTAAAGAAGGAAAGAAGAAGGGGGGAGAGAAACATTTTCAATATTTTAAGTGGTGTTTGAAGTGTTTGAAGTCTTTTGATCCTTTGGTTCACTAACTGAATGCTCTAATAGTTTCAGAAGCAAACTTACCATGTTCATTTCCTCCTCATGACTCATGCTGTACAACTGCATGTCTTCAAATGTCCATTCCTAACCTCCATTTTCTTTCATGTAGCAACATGTAAGTATAGATTCATACTCAGTGTATCTTTTCCATTGTAATGGGAATGTTGGTATGGAGGTCTAAAGGTCACCTCTTTCATGTTTTTTTTTTTTTTTTTTTAAAGGAATGTGCTAAGCCTCATTTAATATATTATGTTTCTCTCATTTTCTAACCCTCTTGCCTGCGATGGGATGCTCCCCTCCTTTCCTCCCTCCTTCCCTCATCCCTCATGCCCATGTCGTGTGCGTATCTGTGCGTGTGTTTGTAGTGCATGGGCTGTGGGAGGAGTGGTCGTTATGGAGTCTGTGCTCCGTGACCTGTGGGCGGGGCTCCAGGACGCGAACCAGGAAGTGTGTGAACGGAGGAGGGGCCTTGGCTTGTGGGAGGCCCGAGATTCAGACCAAACTCTGCAACATAGCAGTGTGTCCTGGTTAGTACCATCCCCATTTACATGATACACCCAGTCTCTCTCTCTCTCTCTATTTCTCTCTCTCTCCCTCTCTTTCTTGGTCTGTCTGCCCATTCAAGTCTGGCTATCTTCATTTCTTCCAAAAACAACTGGGTTTGCTGTCACAGCTCTTGAATTTACATTTGCATTTATATTTTATGTTCTTCCATTTCAACTCTACAATTCAACGTAGTGTTGCTCTTCATCTGCCTAAACTTGGACCAATGTTGCATTTAAGAGCAGCTGCCTTAAAAAAAAAAGCGTGCATTTCAGCCTCCTGCAATTCCCCCTATGGATTATTGGTAATTTAGTTAAATAGAAATACAAACAGGCAACAGACAGATGGCTGCAAAAACACTGTCACTGGCAGTTATATAAAAAAAAGAAACATCCAATAAAAGCATTTCAGCTAAATTGAATTACTTAATCCTCAGATATTTGAAACTAACTGAAAACCCTCAACTGTTTAGTGTATAATCATTCCATTTTGTAGAAACATAATGGATTATTTAGCCCAAAGGCACATTTGATCACAGGTCCACATTTCCCTGTACTACAAGGTTGACATTTTATGGTTTATTCAGACACATCTTGGAATGGCAATGATAAATAACCTGAAAACAACCTTCAAGCTCAATCGTACTTTAAGTAGCCATGTTATAATAGTCAGCTTGATATTTATTAGCCTGCTGAAGACCAGTGTTCAAGGCTTTGTCATTGTGAGTATAATAGCAATGTTAACTAGCTCACTGATTCATACCGGGCAGAGTGGAAACCAAGGATGGCCCAGCATGCAGGAGCATGTCTCCTCAGATAAAAAACAGTTCATTCAGTCCAGCCACAAAGGAAAATTACTAAAATAACTTCATATGTTAGCAAACCATTGGGGCGAACCTCTATCTGGGCCTTCTCCTAGGAAGTGACAAAATAGGCCAGACCAGTCAGCTGATTAATCACACCTTTTATACCCTGTCACCTGCTGTCCTGGCCAATCAGGGAGGAGCTCTGTAATAAGTGCCAGCTTGAGTCAGGTGGAATCAATCTCCCCTCAGCTGGAGGTAACGAGACTCATGATTTACCATGGAAAAGAAAACTCCTTTTATTTTCCCTTTTGTTGGGATTTTACAAAACAGAATGAAGATGAAATAAACCAAACACACTGTTAAATGGCAAATAAATCAAACTAATAACATCAAATAAGCGTTGATTACAAGACTGAGGAATGTGCAACCTTCCTCTGAGCCTGAATATCACAGTTCACAAAGACTAACGTGGTGTTTAAAGAAGCTAATCTTAGCCGTTTAATCATGTTTGATTCACCGTTCTCTTCTCTGCTCTGCTGACATTGCATGAATCCAAACCTTTTCCTGCCTGCTAATTCTCATTGCATTAACTTTAACATCAATCCCTGGTCAGCCATGGAATACATGACCGACTTTCCACATTTTTTCACTCAGCTGCCCTGCAGGTCTGGAGCGTAGCAAAGCCTTTAGGTTGGACTTCTACGTTTCCTCCATGGTTGGCTTGGATTAGATTGCAGAGCAGGTCCATCGGTGGAGCGCTCTAGCTATAGTCTCAGAGATTACCTGTTAGGCCTATACCTTGTCAAGAACGGCTATAAGTCTCCAGTGCAGCCCCATCTAATTCCAGTGTCAAGGCTACCTCAGGACTTAATTCCAATCTTGCTCTGTCTGTCCAGCTGAGACATCTTTATCAGGCTGCCATTGGAGTGGAATTGGACAATTGAAATAACGTCTCAATGGAGCCGACCCTGAAGGAAAAGTAGGGCACGTTTTAGCCAGCAATTACTGGAGCCTATCCCTTTCTATTTTGAGATGTCAAGCTTATACCTCCTGATATAAATAACCTACAAGAATGGACTCATCGGACTCATTTTATTTTTGTATTTCAAGTGTTCTTCTATGAAAACCACTTACTTTGAAAGGATTGACATCAGAAAGGAACTTTCATTTCCCCGGTTTAATTTGTGCCACGCTTTCTGCGTCGGCGGAATATAAATAGTTTCTGCATAACATAGGACATTAATGGATGTACAGACATTAAAACATCAGACAGCTTATAACAAAATTGGTTGCTGTTTTATTTTTTCCTGAATTGATCTCAGTCCAAATGAGACAGTGTGTGTGTGTGTGTGTGTGTGCTTGTATAGTATACAACCACTCACAGGCTGTGCAATTATCACAGGGTAAGAGCTCTTTATTTATCATAGCTAAAGGAAAGAATCCTCTTGTTTCCCCTTAGTAAATGATAATTATATTTATGTCAATGTTGCTGGAGCCTTTCTGGACTGCAGCCCAACCTCTCTACTGACAGCATTTTCTGTTTTTATCATGACTATTTTGGGGTCTCTTTTTTGTTTTCATGTTTTTCCACAGCAAGGTTTTTATAAAGGTTAATATTTAAATAAAACAAAAATTGTCCTCATAGCCAAAGCGGCTGCAAAGTTATGTCTCAAAGAGGGAGGAATAAGGAGCCGTCATAATCTAAAGTATGGCCTGCGGGAAGTTTCGGCATACTGTTTTTGGGAACAGTGATGGAAGGAAAGGGTTTTTTGGGGAGAAAAGGGTGGGCTCGTCCTTCAAGGGCTTTAAGGAAATCTGTGTATTTGTGTCTTGGTATGCTGTATGTGTTTGTGTATTTGTGTGCGAATATATCACAACAGATTCAGCGAGCTTTCGGGAGTTCAAAGGCATTGGGCCTTTGAAATGATGAATACCAGCGAAGGCCTTTTGGCACAAACAGCCATGCATGGAAAATAGAGCTTTTCTATTTCTGTGTGTGTGTGAGTGCCTGTGTTTATGTGTGCATATGTACATACATTGTATGCTTTCAGAGACATGATTTCACTGTAAACAATATTTACTCAGACCGTATACCATGCCATTGAGCTTTCTCTTTAGTGATTATGTGACAGTATGTTAAAGTGTCACAAATTATATATTTCTTGGTCAAGTCGCACTCCTTTGCTGTTATTTTTTCCCCTTATGCAGGCATATTCTTAGCCAACACATCAATTAACTGTATGTGTGGGCAGAGCTGCTAATGTTAATACTACAGGTGTTAGATAAAAAAAAAAAGACAATCAACGCTCAATATGTTTACATGCTCGGTAAACACTCAGTTAAGAGCTACAGTTATAACTCGATTAGGTCATTCAATTGGACTGCTCTCCTTGTCCCAGTCTACAAGCATTGGGGTAGAATGGACTTATTCAGGGGAACCATGTTTGGTTCTTCAATGGTAGTAGCGATATGCTCCTTTTTAGGTAGTTACTATTGGACCTTCTTCTGAGTGACCTATTGCGTCACATCCCCCCAAAAAATCAAAAAAATAAGCTAGCTAGCAGCAAGCTAGGTTGATTTGTGGGTTGAAGTCCACTGAGGGAACTGTGGGGCATGCACAGTTTGAGGCTGATTGTGGTGTCAAGAGTATTATTATATGTGTGTGAGTCTGACTTCGAGTGAGAAGTGAAAGGCAGCTGATTAATGAGCTCGGAGTCAAGCATATACAGGTATTAATTGGTTTTTTTTTAAATATGGGGAATTGAAAAGATGGCTTTGGCCGGAAAACAGCCTCATTCCCACTGACATGTTATGTTCTGATTGATCAAAAAACACTGTTATGATCAAATGAGACATTGTTTTTCTGCTGGGAAGTGTCTTGTGGTAATTTGTTCTCCTAGATCGCTTGTCATGAACGCAACATGCAGTGGTTCCTGCTGCTGAGTCGAAATAGGTTTGATCGATTGGACTTTTGCATTGTGTTGGAGGGAGAGACATGAAGCTGTGACATCAGGATTTGTTTGATGGTTAACCACTGTTTATTCTGATAAAGTTTTAGTGAAACAGAACCTGTTGATTCCACTGAAGGAAATCAGTATATGGAGAGGTTGTGACTGGTATTGTCGGGGTAAAAACACAGAAAGATCTCCTACAACTCAACAAAAGCATATGCTTTCATCATCAACAAAGACACACCAACGCACAAATACGTAGTGCTCACGACAGTGTGTGGGCCTCGACAGTGTATAGCTACTGGGTAGATTGGACACAGAAATATAAATCAGGAAGAGCTTGAATTCTGATTAAACACAGGCACCGACATGCAGATCACATATAGCAATGCACACAGATTATATAATATATTTAATCATTATCATCATCATCATCATCATCAACAACAACATCAAAGGGTATTAATCAGGGGATGGATTAGGATTATAGTCAAAACTATTAACGCTCACCACCCACAGGGGAACTGAAAAAAGAGAGAGAGAGAGAGAGAGAGAGAGAGAGGGAATAAAATAGAAGAATGGAGAAGAAGAAGAACAGAGAAGGGTTTTGTACTAGAGCATTAGTACATTATGGAGCTTAAAGGTCCCCAGAGTCACCTATAGATCTGTTGTAATTACAACAAATTACAGCAGAAAATAACACACTGATGTACTGTTCTGTTGTAAATATCAAGGAAGCCTTAAAATCCATTATGAAAACATATTTCTGTCAGTACTTCTTTTTGAAGCAGGTTTGAGATTTGTCACTTTAATCACTCCGAATTGGATTTTGAAAATGTCTGGTTCCACCTTGATTCCTACTAGTTCAGAGCTCACTCGGTGCAACAGCCCACTCAGCGTCGGCCCCAGCCAGTTGGAACATTGTGGCAAGTCGCACACCGCAGTGATTGACCGCATCACCGAGGAGAGTTGGCAATGTTTTCCCACTTGGGAGAAGCAGACAAATACACTTACTGCACTGTATTTCACTTTCTCCGCTACTCAAAGCCCCCTGTGTGTGTCCAATATGTTGCCTCGATATATCATTCTGAACCCAAAGTTCTCACTTTGAGTTTTGTTCTCTTGTTAATACAGTGACAAACTGAACTGCCCGAGAGCACACACTCAACATCAGTGCAGAATCAAGTGTTAGTTGAAGAAGAAGGAAAATTTGTTTTTTTTTCTTATTTCGGATTGTTGTATGTATGATTTAATGATAGCACTGTCTTACTTGATTTACAGCAACAAGAGTAAGAACAATATTTTTTTTCTAATCATGAATTCGTCTTTGGACCAAAAAGTACAACCCTAAGATTGGCTGTTTTGAATTGACGTTACAATAAACAGGCTAAAAAAAAAACTCTATTAGTTTGAATAAATAATTAAAACTGCACCACACACTTTATTTTAAATCTACAATGATTCATTGACTTTGTAATTAGAAAGATTTGAACCCCCCGAGAATTCCCATGTAACTTATGAGGCGTTTTACTGACTTTTAGCTCACTTGTTTTGGTTTTACAGTCTATAACTTTCTTGTTTTGTTGCAGACTTGTTTACAGCAACAGGCAACTTTTTTTGTGAGCAAGCATTATTCTGCTTATACCTCTTGACGCTACCTGTCTAGCACTTCAGAGCAGGCAGACAAAGTAGCAACTACATTGTGAAGACAGTGCAGCAATTAGTGGCTAAAGAGCCCCATATTTCCCTCTAGACTTGGTACAGAGCAAAACAAGCCTAAATGGGAAATGAAAATTAGACTCTTTCATTAGGTGGCTTGAAACATGACTTCCATGCTAAATAGTTAAGGATATAGGGGGGAAAAAAAGGGTGGTTTCTTGTCCTTAAATGTTCACTTTATCACTTTTTTAAAGCTAATAGACAGTGGATGGACAATCAAGGACATTTCAGAGAGAAGGTGTGCTGTGAAAGCAAACAACATTATTCAGCATTGTTTCATTTCTGTTGTAAAAAGGGATGAGAAATAAAACAATTTAAAGTCAATAATCCAACTGGAGGCAAGACATGGGTTTTTTTTTTTCTACAAACACAGCCTCCAACAAAAGAAGGCATTGTTTTCTTTTACTCGAATCATTAGCTCTAGGACGGTGTTTTTTTGACACAAATAAAATAAGCATTAAAAAATGTATTTGAGGACAAAAACAATCAAGTGTTCAGGATATTTCATTACCGTTTGAATAAAACTCTTATTTGTGTGAAATGTTAGAATAATAAGCACTAGTTAAAACCAATCAATGGAAACAAATGGAAAACTATGTCACCAGTGCTTTGAAAAGTGTTATATTTAGCTTGACAAAGTGCAAATTTTGACAGCTTAACTCTGCGGCTGGCACATTTGGAGGGGGGGGGGGGATTGAGCAATAAATACATAATTATTACTCCACCTAGCATTAAGTAATAAAACTCTAGAGGTAATTAGTTCATTAGAGGGATATTATTTTTGAACACAGCCTTTACTGCATCACAATGAAACTATGAACTGTCACCAAAGCCACATACAGAAGAACATCTACTTATCAGGTTCATTGATGTTTGACATCTGCAACAGTGATTCAAAAAATGAAGCTTTCTGACAATACAATGTTATTAAGTTGCAACATACTGCACTAAAGGTATAGATAATTTATGCAGAACATCTGGAGAATAGTATGCAGACAGTTTAATTGCACAACACACAGGCTTCTTGGACTTTTATTTCTCACATTTCTGACTAAAGCGATGAATATCAGCAAGGTGTTGGAGTGACTCCGACCTTCAATTTAGAGGACTGCTACGTATTAAAAGCCAACAAATATCAGTGTGATCGCAGAGTTCAAGACTTCATTGCGACCATCACTACCTACAAATGACAAATTTGCCTGTTTTTGATTATCCTATTAATTGCCTTTTGAGTATTTTATTTGACAACTCAATTACTTCATCTATGCTCCCTTATAAAAGCGGACAGAAAATGCTTTGATTACACCTGTGCATGTCGTCAGGCTTTGGTTAAGCTATTTGGTATTCATGCATTGTCTGAAAGGCGCTCCTGGATTGTATACTGCCTTTTTTTCTGTGTCTGCACAAACACCAGTCGAGAGTTGAAATGTGGTTCCTTTCTAACAACGCTTTAAAGGACAATCCGGCTGACTGTACTCTGCGTGAACTCTTTATAAAACAAAGCATAAAAGGAATTCAAATCAGCTATTTCCTAGATTGAAATATTTAAAATGTCTATAGAGCTATGAAGCGCACTATGTGTGTTTGTTTCTATTTATGGAAAATCAAATACCCCCTTGTAATTTATTTTTTCTTCCTACGAACTCATTCTATATTCTGTTTGCTTGTAGCCCACTCACTTTATTTATTCTCTCTTTTCTCCCTTTGCACCTTTCTTCTCCCCCGCATCGTCCTTCCTGTCCTTCAAACCTCGGAATCAATTTCCCCTGATTTCTCCTTGTCTCTCAAAATCTTCCTCCTTCCATTTCCATCCATTTTTTCATCCATTTTTTTCCCCCTGTCTCTACCCCCATGCCCTCCTGCAGTTGAGGGCCAATGGTTAGAGTGGGGGCCTTGGTCGAGATGCAGCGTGACCTGTAACACAGGATCGCAGCAGAGGCAGAGGCGCTGCAGTGCGTCCGTTCACGGCTGGGCCGAATGTAAGGGCCCCCATGAGGAGAGCAGAGAATGCACCAACCCTTCATGCAGTGGTAAGGCGTACAAATCAATGCTTAGCATTCACACTGACTCTCAAACGCCATTATGCAAACATGAAACATGCATTATCTAAAAAGGTATCTGTATAGTCTTTTCTGATTCCTGTTCTGAATGCTCATATAATTAGTGGGTTGGGATCCAATTTGGCTGGTGGTCGAATTCTACATGTACCCCCACAGGACAAAGTACTGCTGTGTTTTAATGAACCTGGTACTATAGGATCATACTGACTTACTTTGAATACCACACTAAAAAATGTAAAAGACTTGCAACTGTTGCCTTATGCTCTCAGGTTAGCAGGTTGCAGTAGACGGATGTACACCGGAGTGTTTGGTATCGCTTGAGGTTTCTTCCTGTCTGACTTACTTTGAAAACTGTTGCCTTACAGTCTTGGCTCAGTCTGTCCCAGAGGATGCATGTACTAGGATAAACCAGGTCCTTGCTTCCTCCCTTTTCTCTAAATGTGCGGTTCTCTTCTCCTCTTCCAGGTGGAGGTAACTGGGGTAGCTGGAACCACTGGAGCCTCTGCAGCAAAACATGTGACTCTGGGTGGCAGCGTCGCTTCAGGATGTGTGAGGGCACCGGATTACAGGGATACCCCTGCGAAGGCTCAGGAGAGGAGGTCCGGTCCTGTAACGAGAAGAAATGCCCAGGTCAGTGAGTCGCTGCATGTGTCTGTGACTTTAGATAACGAGGGAGAACCAATGTTCTTGTCTTCATGTATATATTTATGCTTTAAAAGTCTGCATAAACACATTTTAGCTCACATTTTTTTCTGTGTGGCTGCATTTTTTTGTGTGTAACTCGACTAGTGAATCCCTGTCAGAGACTAAAGAGTGTGTTTATCTGTGTGTGTGTGTGTGTGTGTGTGTGTGTGTGCGTGTGTGCCCAATCTGCATCTGTGCACTATTTGTCAGGCAGAATTGAAGAGATTCCCAGTGGTTCGCACCACAGCCAAAGGCTTCTATTGCAATTTCAGAACTGCATTCTTCTCATCTTTATCTGCCTCTTGTCTGCCATCCTGTCGATTCACATACCCATCCATCTTTACCTCTTCATTGATTTTGCTTGTCCTTGTCTTGTGGCGCTTTCATTTTATCCTCTCTGTTTACCTGAGAGATACTCCATTTCTCCTCATATCTCTCCTCTTTAACATTGTTTTTGTCGCACTAATCTCGCCCGCTCACTCTCTGTTCTCTCTCTCTCCCTGATAGAGGGAGAGATGTTCAATGTCAGGGTGTCAGCCGCTGCAGGAAACAGTGTGTTTTAATAAACATCCCCCTTGACTGAATCTGTGTGTGCGTGTGAATATGAAAGCTTATTTTTCTCTTCAACCCTGTATGAAACCAGTGTACATTCACGCAATGAGCTCTTTCAGTCTACAAAAGACAAAGTCTAAAGTGCAGCCTTCACCATGACCCCTTTGTTTTGAGTACCTCTCAAGCTGCTTTGACACCAGGCTAGGATCTTGTCTGTTGGCATTGCAAGGGGAACATAATATCATATTTTCTCTCACTCTCCACATCTCTCTATTTTCGCTCTCTCCGTCCCTCTTCATCTTTCTGCATCGCCTCTGCCAGCACTAGTCTGCCCCCCTCGGAATATCTTCAGAGCACTCTCCCCTGTTTTTCATCAGGGTTATGAAAGAGAGGGAGGGGGAAAACAGATGAATAAAAAGAAGGAGTAAGATGAAGAGGGAATGAGATACTGTACTGAGGCAGTGACACTGACAGAGAGCACTGAGCAATGTACAAGGGAATAAGATAGGGAGCCGCTGTAGGAGAACATTGATTTGAATCTTTTTTTTTTTTTTTTTTTTGTGCTTTTCTGGATCAGATTTTTTTTTTCCGTTGGCTATAGTGTCTGTGGGAGCATGTGCGTGGGGGTTATTTCTTCTTTGCTTTATGCATGTGAGAATGTGCTTCATTTCACTTTTTGTGTGTTTTTCTCGCCCACATCTACAGCTCCTCATGAGATATGTAAAGACGAGCACCTTCTTGCTATGGCATGGAAGAGAGCATCGGCTGGAGAAACTGTATACAACAAGTGTCCAACTAACGCCACTGGTCAGTGACATATCCTTTAGTCAATGTATGTCAGCTGTTAGCATGTTTTGGTCACAGCTTGTGTGAATTAATGATTCAGTTTCCCCCCCCCTTTTTAGGAAATCGCACCACATTTGCTTAAACTAGGATACAACCAGATACAAACCATCCACAAGCTGATATTAGAAATTGCCTAATGGGTTGTTTTGATAGTCCCACACAATAATTGTCCTAAACACCTAGCATAGTTGCTTAGTTAGCAGTTGTTTATCACTCGCATTGCTGACATAACTCCTTAACAACCTGAATCTTGTGAAAAACGGAAGAATTATGAGTACACTGACAACTACACGTAGGCCTACAACAGAAGCAAAAAAGGATGTAAGCACCTGCATTTGAGTTAGCACATAGGTTTGAAGGCAAGTTATGATGAGTCAAGCTCGCTAGCTAAAGTGAGAGAAAGAAGTAATGTTCATCAATTTAAAGTGAACCTTTTACACATACCAAAATATTTATTTTCAGATTCAAATGGCAAAAAATGTCTGTGTGTATCATGAATTTCATAAAAAAAAAAGAAAAAAAACATGAAACAGACTTTTATTTTATGTCAAAATACTCAAGTGAAGTTTGAAATGTAGCCTACATTGTGCCCATAAAGAAGGAGCTATAGTAAGGAAACATAAATAAACTTGATCTTAAGAAACATTTAAAGGAAACAAAAAAAAAGATCCAAAAGGTAATCTCAAAATGTCCAGCAAGAGAAGCAGAAGTTTAAGGGCTCCCTAATGTTAGGCTACCATCTGTTAGTTAGCAACTGCTCAAGCTAGCTACCAGGTGGTAACATTGGCAGGCTCGCCCACATATGCCTAGGGGGAGAGGGTACTTAAGCTTCACACAGAAGATAATCAACAATTGGTTTTCACTGCGTATATTGTTAAGAGTAACCTCTGGTAATTTGTGGGATGTTCAGCACATTGGTAATTGTATACATGTCAGACAACATTGTAAATGATAATGTAGCTGAATTAACCAAAACACAAGGTCGGAAATGGATAGTCTTTGTCTGGAATAAATAGGTAGAGGGGTATTAATAGATAACTATTCAGCTCTGATATTAAAAGGTGATCATAACAGCATTTTAAACTTATGTATATTTCCAATATTGTCTTTCATAGAAGCTAACATATCCTGCTTGAACACAGTTAAACCTTTTCTGTGTACAAACCATCGCTTTAACTAAACAGCACAGTTTTCCAAACAATTTGCTGCCTCACCTTCTTCTTTTAACTTCCAGAGCAGTAACAAGAACTAATTATGTCTTTTTTTTTCTTTCAAAATTGAAGTCAATAAAAGATGTGGCGCCTGAAAAATAAATATATTTCTACATCTTTCAAACTACAGTGTTGGCCCTATCCTCAAAACATGTCCGCTTCTATCAGGTTTTTCTGCCAAGAAAACATTATAGCTTAAAGTACATCCCATTTAAGGTAAATCATAGTGATGAATGTAATTAACTGAGAAACTTCACAGTTTATTTATGTCCATATTTCTCATAAAAAGCCAGAGACAGTGAGTGATTATTATTGGCTATGGAATAGGTTTTGTCTTAGTAAAGTACTGTGTTTTGGCAGCCATCAACAGTTTATTTGTTGGCTGCCAGGTTAGAATAGCCAGCAGGTGTGCGTTGCCAAACAGAATAACCCTGCTACAAATGAAATACTCAATAGATGGAACCATCCGGATATTATTTTACCCCAGGAAAAGTGAAAGTCACTTTTACAGTAAGTGTTGTAACTGTGCTGTGGTTTGCCTGTTATTGATTGGAATGATTTAAAAGAAACCTATTGTAGGGCCCCTGACCTTAACACTGTTATTAATCAGAATTCCTCTCAGTTATATAATACCAGCAATATATTAATGTATTTCTGGCAGTACAAACAAAGTTATTTTCTCAATTCTGAGTCCTGTATGTGTTACTCTGGCAACAGTAACTTCTCTAACTATGAAAGTAATTACATTATCATGTGTTCCTGAGCCTGTTTCCTCTGTAATATGTGACAGATTCCCTGTAAGTAATTGTCTCTTTCTCTGTCTTTAGGATCTGCTAGTCGTCGTTGCATGCTGGACAATAATGGAGTTGCTTTCTGGGGTCCTCCGAGCTTCGCCAGATGCGTCTCACTTGATTATAGATATTTACATTTATCTGTAAGTTCCCTTTGAATGAAGAAGTACTCCCAAACTCAGGGACTTTTCTACAGCTTTTCAAACACATCTTCCGCAGAAACAATAAGAGTCTTCGTCTGAATTGCAGTATTTCTCTTTCATAACTCACCTTTATAAATACCGTCACCTTCATTAGTGATTTAGGAGAAAGTTAAGGCTCTATTTTTAAAGTTACTTACTGCCTCACTTTTTTCGCTTTCACCTATTATGTACCCTTTGTTCGACCTTTTTTTTTTAACTTTGCAAAAACATTTACTAAGAATACTGAGTCTTTACTCAAGGCTTGACGGTATCTCTAATTAGCTTTTTTTTTTTCAGAGCTTTGTGCTCGTACTTATCAATTAATAAACATAGCTAATGAATGTGTTCATCAGCCACACTGTTTTTCCTGGTCTGTGAACTTCAACCTCTTCCAATCTCTGCGGTGAGTGCAGAAGGAGATGACGGTTAAGGATTCTGCCTGACAGAGCTGATTGCACCGATAGCTTCTGTTCCAACCTTTCATTAACACCAGCAGTCAATGATTAATTTTCTGTGATTGCTGTTATCTTCTGTTCTACCAGGCTCTCTCTCGCTCTCTACCTATCTTTCCCTCTCTCTCTCTCTCTGCCCCTCTTGTTGCATTTCACATTCACAAAGTCTTGCTTTCTGTATGCTCTTTCTCTGAAGTGATGCGATCCAATTTCTGCCTGAGAGTGCTGTAGGCCTCTTCTTCGCTCGACTATTTTAAGCACAAACACAAAAAAATCCAACCATGTCATATTTATACTCCTGCCTTGAAACGTTCCCTTCGGCTCACATCCAAAACATTCCTGTGATTTCTTCAGAATAACAAAACGTGGTCTTGGTTTGTTTGGTGTTTTTTTTTTTTTTTTATATTTTTTATTAGCTATACATTTTTGATTAGGAGCAAGAATGTAAAAGTAAGAGAAAATGGCCAATTATCTGATTAACCAGCAGACATAAAACCATGAACTCTAAATGTCTTGTCTTTCTTCACACCTTTTAGTTACGAGAGCATCTCGCGAAGGGTCAGAGGACCCTGGCCGGGGGAGGGCATGTCTCAGATCGTAAGGAGTCTCCTGGAGCTCTTGCAGAGGAGGAGCTACTACAGTGGCGACCTTCTCTTTTCCACGGAGATTCTGCGAAATGTGACGGACACCTTCAAAAGAGCAACCTACATCCCAGCTCCCGACGACGTGCAGGTAAGCACATTTTCGCCGAGCCTTCCTTTGAAGCCACCTTCAAGTCGCAAAAAACCGTGCCAAACAAGCAGTCACAGACACACTCCCACACAGAGATTCTCTTGCAAAGCTCGCAAATGTAGTCTATGTAGAAGTTCGACTTTTTGCTGCACAAGGTGTGCATAACAATGAACTACAGCTACACAGTTGCTACGGCCTCAAAGGGATTTTTTTTTGCACTGTTTTTTTTTTTTCTCCCTTGCCTGTAAGATAGCAAAATGCTTCTGTTTGACAGCCATTATTTTATGTTTTACACAATACCAATATACAGATGACTAACTGTACGACGACTTGACAGGGAATAAACTGCAGCACTGTTGCACTGCTAATTGTAGATGGGTGCATTTCAGCTACAAATTACAGGACAAAGGCTGGCATTCCCGTGTGCATGCATACAAATGAGGGAACAAAATCTAATGGCCGTCTGTAGCACTTAATGAGAACATCTTCTTCTTGCGTCTAGAAATTCTTCCAGATAATCAGCCTCATGTTGGACATGGAAAATCTAGAGAAATGGGAGGACGCTCATCAGGTAAAACTCACTATATGTGTTACTCTTAAGTGTGCCTCTGTATACACCTTTTTTCCCCCCATAATCTGTTCTGTTTACTTCTGTACCAAAGTGTGTGTGTCATTAAATACTTTATTTGCATGTGCATAAGTGAATTTGAGTGTATAGTAAAATATGACCACATCCCCTATTAACTTTTCATTATAGTCATAAAAACACACCTGTTTCCTAAACACAATAGCCATCTATTCATTTTACTACTTAAGTTTCAGTATGCGTGCACTTTTTTATGTTTTGGTGTGTGACCCAGCTTAACGCCCTTGAGTCTAGGTGTGTTTACTTTGCCATCTGGACACAATAAACAAGCAACAAAATATGATCTATTAGCCTGAGGGGTTAGAATTTACCACCATGGAAGAAATTCAGTGGTCTGAATAATGCAATGGGATAAAAAAAAAATGTGTCAAATGGGGAGACAAGTCTCATTGAATGTTGTCCAAGGGTTATAATTATGATGACATGGTGATGGATGCTCGCCTCTCCTTTTTTTCCATTCCTCCAATCAACAGGTCGCTCCCGGTGCCGCTCTGCTGATGAGGATATTAGAGGATTTTATTCACCTCATCGGAGAAGCCCAGAAGCCTTTTCAGAGTTTCCTGGTGGTTACCAACAACCTCAGTAAGTGTCCCCAGAAGACATTTAAAAAGATTACAACACCAGTATCTGTGAAAGATTCAATGATAGTGAATTTTAACTGCCTATCTTTTGTCAGTCACAGCCAAAGTCTCTCTATCATATAAATTAGACTGCCAAATCTTGTACTTTAACGTTTCACTTGACATAGTTTTACTTCCAAATAACCCTGGTTTTAAATATGCATTAGTCATTGATGGTTTTTAAAATTAAACTTGACTAACAGACTTTTTTTTTTAAATGGGCATTTTTCACAAGAGTCCTCGGTTTCAACCTTGTCCTGCACTGCAGTGACATTTAAGTTTTTTTTTTTTCCTCCACTCTGTATCTCTTTTTTTTTTTTTTTTGCCCAGTGATAACCATCCAGCGAGAACCAGTGTCAGCAGTTTCAAGCAATATCAACTTCCCAATGAAGGGCCGGAGAGGGATGAAGGACTGGGCCAGAACTGCCGAGGACAAACTCTACATCCCTAAAGAGTTCTTCACCAACCCGACTGAAGGTAAAATAACGACACTCGATCTATTGTCCAGGGTTTGGTCAACATTTCCTGTGTATTGACAGAGGGAGTAGAGTTTCATAACTTGGCCCTACTTGGCAAGGGTGGCAAGACGTATGTACAAACATACACAAAATTATAGCATTCATTTACCCTCTCTGTCTTCACTAACCATCAACTACTTAAATAATGTAACGTGTCACATAGATGTTATACTTTTGAAGATATTTCTTCAACTTTTAAAAAAGTACCACAACTGAGTGGCTACTTTGAAATATTTCTTGATCAATTTTCTAAGAACTCAAAAAGATGTTTATACACAGTCATAATTGAAAAAAAGTCATGGAAGGAAATGTAATATTGCCATTCTCAGTGGCAGTATTGACTCTGAGATGAAGGAGGACCTTTCATCACCCTCACTCAGCCTTCTCTTGAAGCCAAGGTCAGAACAAGAAGTTACACTGGTGTGATTTCACACTCTCAGAGTCGTGTCTCCTGGAAGCAGACAGACGTCTTTTCAAGAGTAATGCCGAGGAGGACTTGGACTGTAAAGTGACCCTTGAGGGGCTTTACTCTGTGAAGACATGTGATGCATCCCCTCGAGAGCGATAAGTCCTCCGAACCATTTTGAAAGATGTGTCTTCGCTTTCAGCGACACGAGAAAGTTACCTGCTGTTAGTGTTAATGGCTGTGAATTATTTTCCATGTGGTTGAAAGTGGAGCCAAGAAACGAGCAGAGTGATTGTCCAAACACAAATCAAGAAATGAACATTGTGGAGAATAACAAGAGAAAAAAGAACCCAGGACGTAAAGGAGTGAAAGTTTGAAAAAGGGAAACAAAGGGACATGAAAGAAACGGCAAAAAGGGACTTATCTAAAGAATTACTGTGGCAGATGCAGTTGTCTACAAACCAAGGCAAAGGTCACATCTCTTAGGAAATTAGACTGGCAGACTTCTTGTCTGGCACATGGTCCTCGGCCCAAATTAAAGTTCAGAGTGGCTGCAGGCTGATGAAGGCAGAGCTGGCTCTGACCTCTGACTCGCACCGATGACACAGACTCGCTTTGATTGGCGTTCAAGACAACCTGTGTTCTAACCTCAGGGCACTTTACCTCACATCACCTACGCACTTTGTCTAATTATTATGCACAACGTTATATGCTTATGTGTGCTCTTCTTCAAACCATTTCTCCATCTTTTCATCCATCTTGCTTTTATGTAACAAAAACGTTTTCATGATTTGCCCGCTAGTTGTTTTGTTCAAGTTGTTTTCCGAAGTTTCTAAGTTACTGCAAATTCAGATGTCTAACAGGATGTATGTTCTGGTGGAACTGGAGAAAAAACACCTACACCTTTTTTAAACCTTTGTCTTCTTACTTTTCTGCCATTTACCTTTACTTTTGTTCGTTGGTTTGATACCTTTTTCACCAAGTCTTTATTATATATTCACAACATGCCATTAACATTTAAGCATATGCTATTTACTTAATTGTTCCATCCATCCTGCATGTACCTTCATGAGTAATAACGCTCTTCATACCCTTTGCCCCTGTGGCGAGTCTTCTGCTTCCCAATGGTATTCGTCTTTAGATGACTGCTATAAGTCTGATTGGCTCATTTACCCCATAATGAAGGCCTATCCAGGATTGACAGCTTAAACGTGCTCATAAAGAACCATTGGCACCCTTGTGTGCACTCACATACACCGTTGCATGCACACACATCCAATTGATAGATTCTTGACACGCCTGACTTGGCAGAGGCTTGGGAGTGTTCTTCATTGGTTTTAGAGGTGACATACTCCTTCTCTTCCTCCATTGTCTTTTACTTACTATCACAAACAAATTAGCAGGCATTCTCCAAGAGCCTCAAAGCCAGCATTGACTTACTATAGCTGGTATGCATACTTACATGTTCCATTAGCTTTAATATTAATCAAGCAAGAACACAAACGGCGGTAGCTCCAGCTGCCTAGAATTTGTTTGAGACTGACTTCCTTACCCACGGTTTGAACTGTTAGTGTTTTGAGTTTGAAGATTAAAAACAAGAGAGCCTAAGATTTGACACTTTGGGGTTGATAATTGATACTTTGGTAACAAAGTTAGTGTATCGTCACAGTTAAGCAATTTGGCCTATTCATTCACTATCCATATTTGTCCATTGCTTTCCCAGAAGTTTAAAGATGAATAAACACATCATAGTCACGTTGTTAATGACTATCATGTACCTCTGTCGTTTATTCTGTTCATAAACATAATTTGAGTGTGACTATATTATTTGGAAACCATACAATTACAAGGCTAGACTTCTGAAAATACTGCACTCCACTTTTGTTCACAAAGAGATAGTTATAGCATGTAAGTTTTAAGTAAATACAATTAAAAAAGTTTTATGTTCCTACAGTTAGTACAGTGAATACTATTGTAGCTAGCTTGGGTCCTATAGTCTTGTTTTTAACTTTGGACCAAGTCGAGTTAGCCCTTTAGCCTTGTTTAGGGTTAGGGTTAGGGTTAGCTTCTTGTCTCCAGCTCCTTAGTCATGAATAAGAAGTGCCATAGATTTTCTCATTTACCTCTTGGCTTAAAGGTTAATAGCCTTAGCCTATATCTTTAAACTGGCTATCTAGAATAAACTGCTTGATTAGTTGAGAATAGATACAATTAGCTAAAAATACATTTTGTCTGAAGTGATGAATTACGCAGGGGTTATTTTCTGTGCAAAAAAAAAAATTAAAATACCAATCCCCTTAAAAGGAAGAACTGCAGGCAATTAATTTTTTTGTGAGCTGGAGCACATTATCCTGTCAGCCTGTTTAAACAGGGTGTATTAATTGTATTCTTCTGGTTTTAAAGTTTCTTCTTTCAATTTTTTTCTGTTCTGTGTACAAAAGTTTGGAAGGAAGCAAACTAGCAGAGGAAAGAAACAAGAAGGGAATGAAAAGTAACTCACACGGAACTGTTTGGATGGAGCTTTCGATATTTGATTAAAACCATAAATTATGGCTCAGCTTCAACTCCAAGCATATCTTTCCCTGACAAACGGCATATTAAAGTTCGCAGCTGGTGACTGGTGGTTTGCCATTTTGCCGGATTACGGCTGACCACCAATCATTTAGATGTTCAGCAAGCGAACAGTGACGAAAAGTCACTTCATGGGAAATTAAAGTTTGGTGATTAAGTGCTTTTATGTTATTAATCATTCTGGAGTGCAGGACTTCCACCCCCTCAAACACTGATTTACCATTTACCCACAATACACTGACTTTCTCATTTGCATGCTTTTGCAGACACTGTCCAATTAGGATCCATCACAATCACAAGCTTTCTCATGCTGACTTTGATCTGGGTTCTTTTTTGCCTCCTTGCACTCTCACAATTGCTTTTTTTCCTCCCACTGTCGAGATCTTTTTGAGTCTTTCTCTCCTGGTCCTTCTCTCACAGCTATCTCTCTTCCTGAGTATTACCTCTCAGGCAGCAGGCAGACAGATTTTTGGATGAGTCATCCAATGCGTCTGATACCATCAGCTCCCTCCGTCTATCCTCGCTTTCCTCTCTTTGTGCCTATATGCTCATCCGTCGCTTCTCTAAGCCTAAAAGGGCAAAGGAGGGAGTGGCATCTCTCAACATGAACTCTCCACCTCTTCCTTTTTCCTCTCGGCGTCCTTCTGCCACCCTCACTTGAGACAAAGTGACATTTACAGAGGGACACTATGTATGTCTCTGTGGGAGCTTTGGCTTCTTTTTGGCTAAAGACCACTGAAGGGATGGATGGAAGACAAGGACTTGTAAAGACTGACTTTGAAAAAGGACGGAGAAGTTAAAAAAGTGGGTTGGGGAATGGCGGCAACAACAGGGAAGGACGAGAAGGGCGGGGACAAAAGAAGGTGAAGGGGGGAGAGGGATTTCAAAAAGAAAAGAGAACGCTGGAGATAAATAAATTGCATCTTCAAGAAAATTGACTTGTATTAGAAATGAGAGAGAACTCCTGGCTGCTGAAAGGCAAACAGAAATGATTTCTGCGCCAACTCAAAGTGTGAATCCAGAATCTTGCACCTGGATTAATCATTTATTTTTAACATATTAAGTGTGACCATGAGTCACGTTTCCATCCTACCAAGCTGCTGAGAGGTGAAACAGTTAACCAAGTTTTTTTTTTAAAATCAGTTGTTGTCAAATGAACTTTTGTTTGTGACTGTGTGGCTGAAATTGGACGTTGATGTGACAGTAGGCTGTGCTTGTTTGTCGGCAGCTATATTTATCATGTGTATGCCTCAGCTGTAAGTGATGGTCGGCTGAAATCAATCACAACACCACAAACAAGTCTATCACTTTAAAGCTCCAGTGAGGAGTCTTTAACTGGTTAGAAAACAGAGTGAACTTAAAACATATTCCTCTCTTTGACAAACAAAAGCAAAAGAGACCATCAGCAAGAGTACAAATTCTGTAAAGTTTTTTATTTTCATTTTATTTTTATTGGTGATAAGGTGAACAAAACGAAACAAGAATATAGACATGACATAGACATGACAACTGAAGTGAAAACAAATCAACAAAGACAAAAATAAAACAAAGACAAAATAGACACAAAATAGCAAAACATTAGCAAAGATACAAAGCAACAAGACAGACAAATACATTTAAATGAGATAGAATGAAAGTCAAGCAATGATTTTTATGTTCAGGTAGTGTGTTAGAAAGGTGTGAATGTGTGCGTGGCAGTGTAATGCATCAAAGTGCTGAACTGAGTGGGGAGTAGCGAGAAAAACAAACAAAAATATAAATAAATAGATGAGAAATAAATGAACAATGCGTTAGTTACTATTTACTATAAAGTTATTTTTAATACCTGTAAACTCTGTTGCAAGGTAGATGTCAGACAGCACCCCTCCAAAAACAGCCTGTTCACATTTTTGAACAGCTAAGATATGTGACGACTGATATGTTTTTGACTCAAGAAAACTTTCCCAAAAACAGATCAATATCAGCGTGGAGATAAAAGGTACCACTTTGTCCACAGGGGGCGCCAAAATCAACACAAGCTCTTACAAACTACAACAAAAGTGCCCTCACAGTATGGCTGATTTGCAGTTCATATAGAGTAAAGAGATATGTTGTTCTTTCATTTGACCTGGCATCTTGATGCTAATCAGTTGCAATTTTTTTTTTTTTTTCAGAGACAGAGACGGACTCAGAGGCTACCATGTACTATGTCATTGGAGCCATCCTGTACAGGACACTGGGTGTCATTCTACCTGCACCAAAGTGAGTACTACAATATGTTGCGTGCAATGAAATATTTGTTTCCCTAAAGTTTACATGATAAATTACATCTCATTGGCACTTGTCCTCTCTGTTACCTTTTTGCCTCTCTTTTTATCTAATACATTGTCTGACAACTTTTCATCTCCAATGTATTTTATTTTTCTTCAAGCTCCCTTCCTCAACACTTTTCTCTTTCTATACCCTTTCTTCTTTCTTGTCTCTATCTGATTCCAACGTCCAATTCTCCATCTGTCTTCCTCTGTATTGCCTCCTCTCCTTTCCCTGTGCCTGCCTAGTTATCAGACAAATGTCTTGGATGTCTGTAACAGTACATTTCCCTAGATGTTTTTCCCTTTCTTTTGCATTGTCAATGTATTTTTGGAAATGTACAGTTGAGCTTTGAGAGTGTGTGGGCCTAATAGTTCCTGAAACTTGCATACAAGTTGCATAAAAAAAATATAGAAATTAGGAAGAATCAGAAGGTTGTCAAAAGGCCACTGTGATGTGGTGTTTGTGCTGGCCCTTGGCCATTTTATTCAGGTCAGTGCTCTTGGTCATGGTTGAGCTGGATCTGTTTAAAGCCCTTTTCTCCCCGTAGCTCTGCTGAATGCTAATAGGTCCAGCGATTTGTTTTAACTCAGGCGCTGGCTCCGGCTTTCTCATTCTCTCTTGAGGTTTCGTGTTAATATGTATTTTTATGCATGTATGCATATATTTTGCAAACACACTCCCAACAACCATCAAAAGCATTGACAGGGCATTTGGAGTGTGTCGTCCGCTGAGCGTGTTTGGATGTATTCATGCATCTGTTTTGTTGTAAAAACAGCAGACAGAAAAGGCAAACATATTCCACATTTTTCTTCCTTGTCATGTCCAAAAAAACAGAGAGACAGTTCAAGCCAAACTTGAATGTGCAACACAATTTTCTTTTTGATTTTATCTTAAAAATAACATCCTTCATGTCTGACTGTGTGTATCTTTGCAGTCCCCCTGCCATGATCAACTCCAAGATCCTGACAGTGACAGTGCGGCCAGAACCTCAACCCAGTGAGCCCAAGGTGGTAGTCGAGCTGTCACCGCTGATCAACGTAAGTTTTTTTTTCTTTTTAAAATTCTCAGCCACACTCTTTGTATGTGCTTACATAGAAATCCCACAAAAAAATGGGCCATGAGTCTTCAACATCCACATCAAGGGTTATGAGTTGGATTTGGAAAAACGTGACTCCTTCAAATGAGTGTGCACTGTGAGCTTCAAGTTCAAAGTGTGGTATGTGCAACTAAGACAAAAAATTATTCCATATAAGGAATGCTCAGATGCAAGAGTTTGCATTTTTTATGGCATTACTTGTACACCGAGCATGCTTTAGCCAAGAGACTACATTTGTTTAAGGCTTTAAAAGGATTTTCTTCTCTCCCAGCTGACCCATGTTTCCCTGAGTTCAGATGAAAGAAAAAGTGCTGCATGCTATAAAGCGCCATGGCGCTCGCTGAATCGCCCGAATAAATGCGGACCTTTTTGACTTCCCTTATATCGTAGTGTCTCTTGGTGCCTATTCGGTTTATATTACAGTGGAGTGTGTTATTATAAACGACTCGCAGGGCGTCTTCACTGGAGAGAGGACTAAGTGCAAGTTTAATGAGGGGCCCTCTCCACAACCTCAATAAGATGCAGGTTTTCGTTCGGCATTCTTCTGTGCAAAAGGTGAGGTTTTTTTTAAATAACGTTGAATATTAACAGCTCTCCTTAGACAACATAAACACACACAGAAATAAATACTCTAATATATAGTGAATTCCTATATAGCCAGCCTCTTGCTGTGTCAACCAGCACCTCAGGGTCAAAGTTATTGCACATTGTTTCATTAAAAGGACGTTGTATTCATTTCCCACCCCCAGCCACTTCATCTCTCTGCTCTAAACTGCTGATTCATTACTTAATTATGGCATTTCTTTTATAACACTCTTTATTTTCCTGTTATGCAGCGTTTTTTTTTGTAGAAGCAGAAGCACTGCAGGCAGCGACCTGGAAGAAAACTTGTCTCAGGCATTTTTGGCTCAAACCGGGTCCTTACAACGGGACCAACATGGCATAACTGTACAACAACAATGTGTCCCCCTTAAATAGGTCTACCACATTATTCCCTTAAATCAGTACAAATCTGAGAAGCAAGTGCCATAGACACACATGATGGGTGTGTATTCACTCTGTTTTGACGGAACCACTTGGTTTGAAGTGACCATGGAGTTCAAATTTAAGTGGAAGTTTGTAAAAAAAAAAAAAGTAAGCAGGCATATTCTGCAAGAACTCATTCTTATTTCAGTCTGAGTGCCTTTATTGAACATGTTTGCAATAGTACGTTTATTGTTCAATGTTATTAAACACATTAGCTGGAATAATGATTTTCTGGGGCGCCAGTGGCCTAGTGGTTGATGAGTGCGCCCCACATGTGGAGGCTGTGGTCCTTCACGCAGGCGGCCCCAGGTTTGGGTCCAACCTGTGGCTCCTTTCCAGAATGTTGTTCCCAGATCTTACTCTCTTCTGTTTCTGACTCTATCCACTGCACTATCTCTAAATACAAAGGCAAAAGGCCCAAAAATAAATCTTAAAAAAAAAAAGAAGAAGCTGATTTTCCTATATTTACATTGTTTAGTACTTCATATTCTACTCCATTTCAAGTTTAGGATAAGCTGTTTTTTTTCTGAACTCATGAACACATGCAGAACCTTAAACATCTAAAGCAATAGAACCCAACATAATTGTCAAGTTTCTTGTGCTTCCCGACGTGAGAGGAATGATCGTCTACACAAAAAGGACTGGACTCCACTCAAACAATTCCTTTTTCAGTTCCTTTTATTTTTAGGCTTTCAATTTAGCTGTCAGCTTTAGCTGCTTAGGTGAAAAACCTATTGAAAAGAATAAATAAAACAACCAAACAATTGCAAGTTAATATGTGCTTAATTTAAACCATGCACCTCCACCATTCAAGCAGAATACACGCTAAATTAAATGAATGCCTTCGGCCCACCCTTTAACTTATTTTGTGTTTTAAACACATTTTAATCTCTCTGCATCTTAACATTTATTTTGTATTTGAAACACATTTGAATATTTCTGTATTTTAAACACATTTTCATCTTTCTCCATTTTAATATATCAATTTACACCCGTGCAAACTCATGTCTTTTTAACAAACCCCTCGCCTTATTCTAACATACCCACTCATGATGATATGCCCAATCAATCAATCAATCAATTCATCAATTCAAAAAGCCTGTCCTCACCCTGTGCTTCCGCGACAGTTCATAAACATCCTCTTAAATTAAATGTATCTCGCAGTAGAGAACAACAAACAATCAAATCATGAAACATAAACAGGCACGCTATCGAACTAAACAAACAAAACAGCGCGTGCCCGAGCCGGCACCGCTGCGACACTTTTCACGCCAGCAAACAGCCTTTTCTTCAACAGTTCTTACAGCACCTTACCGGCTGCCTCCTTGGTTTTGTCGTAGACGATCAATTTCGCACACTTCAGTTCTTTGGGCTGGTTTTCTTTTAGTTTCCGCGAGCTACCTGTCGGTCTGCCTCTCCTCCCTTCTCATGCTGTCTGTACGTTTGCTCGAATGACTCCGGTGCCGTGAGGATTGATCCCTTCCGGTTAGGTGGGATTTTTTTTTAACTTATTTATCAACTGAGCTCTACTGTCTACTACCCGTTTATTTCCAATTTTTCCTTTCAATAACATAACCTATTTATTGAATTAATGTAAATGTTTATGCCGCTAATTTAATCTTCCCCTTCTGGTTTTGATTCTTATCTTATCTTATCTTTTCCTTCCTTGAAATAATCAAACTTCATTGATTTATCTGATCTATTAATTCATTTATTTTCTAACAGATCAAACTCCGGTTTGACTCGACAATAATGAAACCCCACATAATGCAGCTGTGATAATGGTATAATACTAAAATAGTCACAGGGAACATTTCACTGTATCAATACTTTGGGACAGGTAGTCAAACTTGATATTGTTTGAAATACTGACATAGTTGAACCTTGCTACGGTTTGAATGCAGAACTTGCACTCGTAATGGAGAACATTCACAGTGTCTGGCACACATGCAGATTACCAGTCCAGCTCTGACTGCAGGTTTCACAACCTGTCCAGAGGATGATGTCTTAATGCCGATGGTAGTATGCTGTTCTGGACTGCTAACCTGAGAGCTCCAGCTGAAGATGGACACTGTGCAGGGAAAATGCACATATGCATGCTTTGACCAATTGTGGTTGTGATGCAATATGTATTTATTAATGAATATTCCAGACTGTTTTTTGGAGATGTAACATCTTCAAAAAACTGTGAGATTCTCGAAAAATATATTTAGAAAAAAAAGGTCAAGTGATATGCCAAATGATATACCATGAATAGGTCAAGAGGTCAAGCACCAGCACTGCTCAAACCTATATTTACCAGAATACTTATTTTGTTATTGGACTTTTCCTGTCCTAGAAAGTTGTCGCTCTTTTCAAATCTATTCGCAAGCTTTTTCCCAAAAAAATTAGGAAACAATCAGAATCAGAATCAGAACAAGTTCAACTACAGCATAAACATAAAAAAGTGAAATTTGGAATAGGGTGGCGACTCAAATTAAAGCTACACGGATACAATAATTAATATCTGCCTTATTATGAAAATAAGAATACATTTAAGTGATGACTTCACTTAATAACGAGTATGATTACACGATCATCATTATGGAAAATTCAACTTTATCATGTGTTTTTATCCTATGGTTGGATGTACAGCATCACTTTCATGAGTGTTGTTCAGTATTAATGAAGAGCAAGCGGTCCTTTAGCTTACCTTAGAATATGCAGTTAGAGACCACATCACCCCCGTTCTACATGACCTCCACTGGCTCCCCATCCCCCAGCGTATCAACTTCAAGCTCCTCATCATCACCTACAAAGCCCTTCACAACCTGGCTCCCCCCTACCTGTCTGACCTCCTCCACCGCCCCTTATTTTATAATCGAAGGTTGTGTTCACCTTTGGTCATCCTTGCTTGGAATAAACTTCACTTGCTTGGAAATGCTGAGCATTTAGATGGCAACCAGCGAAGACATGGAAGTTAAAAAAAAAAGGGTCTCGTGACAAGGTCTTTAGCTGCAGTAGGTGTCGACCTTGGCCAGTGTAGAAAAACCCCAGCTGCTGATGCGATACCCTGACAACAGCTGCCTCAGGCTTCACTCTCACCGGGGGCGGGGGGGGGGGTTTAGGGGTCTCTGTGCTCTGCCATGTCTTCACTGAGATGACATCTGCTCCAGCCAGACTCCCCGTGTACTTGCCCGAGTGTCAAAGTGTGTGCGTGCCTTTAATGGTGAGTAAGAAGCAGAAGGCCAGAAAGATCTGTGTCGTTATGGTGGACCAGTAGGCCAGATGCCAAATGTTTTCCCACAGCTCCTCCTCCAGCGATACCCTTCAGCTTACCTCTTCAATTAGAAAAGGCAGCTCTGGTTAGCTTTATGAAACATTAACCCTGAGCCGTTCTGGTCATTTCACTGTAATCTAGTTTACATTCATCAGTCAAAAAGCATTACCCATTTTTCTGAATCCATAATCATTGAAATGAAGTAAAAGGCTTTTAAGACTCTGAACCAGTACAATCTTGTTGTGTTGCTTCTCGCTCGTTTCATTTGATTAGGTTACCATTAACAGGCACTATGCATTAGGAGTTTTACCACCAATTTTCTTTAGCGTGTGCTAGTAAGTACCTTGAATAAAATGGCTGATCCTTCTGAGAGAGAAAAAGTACGACGGAGCTGTTAAGGATGATGCCATTATTACCGTTCATCAATAAGGCTGTTAGAATCAGACACACGCTGCTCCCTTTCGAGAGGCATCAGTCGAGCAGACGCTGTCGTTATGCAACGCACCGACGCTAAAGAGGAGGCAGACACTGTGGGAGTACACGGGGATGTCACTCAAGGCAGAAGCGTACAGTCAGGCACGGTGCCCACTGATTGATAGTTAAGCGCTGAGAGAGCTCGCAACGCTGATGCACGCCCAGGGACATCTGATGTCGGT